AAGCCAAGAAGGCAGGAAAGTCTGAAGAGAGAAGTAAAATTTGGAGGGAAAAAAGGTATAAGTAAGGTAGCAGGAATACCCAGAATTAAAACAGTATATATAGAAAATAGTTTTGAATGCTACAGAGTTAAACCAATTTGTAACTGTAACATGAAAATGAAATTTAGGCTCAGATTATCCCGTATTTGCCCCCTACATAGTTTCTTGCACTTTCCTCTGAAGCATAAGGTTGGCAAAAACTCCTGGATTAGGTTGTTCAATCCTGTGTGTAAATGCTTCTATCTATATTTTGTAACTATAGGATTCCCAAATTGGGTTATATTTGTGACTACCTGAACACAAAAAGTGTCCATGCATATTTAACATGGGTGCTTGCTACAATCTCACCAGCACACACCTGGTGCCCTTTTGCCAGCTACTCACTTTGCAGGCACGCGTTGTACACTGGCTGTTGCCAGTGGGCATGTGTTTTCAGGCTGAAAGCTGAACATCTGCTTGTGTGCTTTGGTGAGGAGAGGGAGAGAGACGGAGTTTTTGTGTGGCACATCTACTAATCCTTCATCTGGAAACCCGGGAACTGAGACCACCTAGGTGTTCTAAACATTGAGATGAGGTATCAGGTCCCAAAGGAGGTAGACTTGGACTCTTGAAAGCTTTCAGGATTGACAAAGTGGCATTTCAAAGATACATCTGGACTCACCTTTGGAATTCTGTCTGCCTGTGCCTGTGTTCAAGGTGTTTGGGCTGAGTGGCCGTGGTCACCGTGCTCAGCTGTGGAAACGAGGAGCCCGGGGCTACACACACGCTGCCCGAAGCAGCGAGGGCGTCCCCAGGCTGGCGCAGACTGAGCCTGGCATCAGGATGGCCGGTGCAGCCTGTACCTCCGCAGGACTGTGTCACACCGGTACAGCTCGGGCTGAGGCAGCTGCCCCGTCCAGAGTGAGCCCCAGCAACACTCCCTGTGCTGGCTGTGCTTCCCTGGAGCAGGCCTGCGGTTTGAGACAACGTGAATATTCCAGTCTCAGCCTGCAGTCCACCAGCTGACTTCTCTTCAGGCCCTAGGGAGAAATTTCCCCCCATCTCATGAGAACTCACCTGAGAGTCATGAGACCCCACCTGGAGTCCTGTGTCCAGATCTGGAGCCCTCAGCACAGGAAGGATATGGACTTGTTGGAGTGGGGCCAGAGGAGGGCCACAAAGATGATCCAAGGGCTGGAACACCTCTCCTATGAGGAAAGGCTGAGGGAGTTGGGGCTGTTGAGCCGGGAGAAGAGAAGGCTGCAGGGAGACCTTACAGCAGCCTTCCAGTACCTGAAGGGGGCCTATAGGAAGGATGGGGAAAATACTTTCAGCAGGGCTTGTTGCGATAGGACAAGGAGCAATGGCTTTAAACTAAGGGAGGGTGGATTTAGACTGGATACAAGGAAGAAATTTTTTACCATAAGGGTGGTGAAACACTGGAGCAGGTTGCCCAGAGAGGTGGTAGATGCCCCATCCCTGGAAACATTCAAGGCAAGGTTGGACGGGGCTCTGAGCAACCTGGTCTAGTGGAAGATGTCCCTGCTCACTGCAGGGGGGGTGGGCTAGAAGACCTCTCAACATCCCTTCCAACCCAAAGCATTCTCTGATCCTATGATCTCAGGTGCGGGGCTCAGTCTTTTTTCCTTGTGTATGGAGGGTGGTATTTACCAGGACCCACCAGACTGGAAGGTGTCCCCTCCCCGCGGTCACCCTGGCCGTGGCTGTTGCCCTCTGAGGTGGGACCCTCTGGGCACGTTCCCGCAGCGGGTCTCTGACCAGGCTCCCAGATGTTCGGCCTCAGGCGCGCACTTCTGTGTTTCCAACAACTCCCGCGTTTTCCACCGCTGCTGCCGGGCAGTCACCGGCAAGGCTACAGCCGCGC